CTCAGATCTGAAGAAGACTGTTTTGCATCAAAAAGCTTATCTAACTTTATAGTCAACTATACAGTTGGTCCAATAAAAGATATGACCCAAAAATCCTTGCCTAAGACAATTTATATACTTCCTTGAGAAGCCCATTAAAGGCCTGTTGAAAAAGGTTAATTTTACATCCAGAACTTACAGTTAATTCTCTTGTTTGATTATAGTTAAAAAGGCAAGCAAAAAAGCAACATCTAGGCCTAGATCCTAAAGGTATTTAGGTACCAGACTGCTATTGAAGTTAGGTATCTACATATCTTTGAGGGTTTGTGATATATTTTGCTTTCATTTTGGCTATTGTATAACCTGTAACTACTATCTGGCACGTGAGCCCATTATCTAAAGATTTAGTCCGTGTACTTGAGAGGTCTCTGAACTCAACACTAGTATTTGAGCCTAGTATAAGAGCCAGGGTAGTTCAGTAGGATACAACTGTCTTAGAAAGTAATGTAACAGATAACAATTTACCCTTAAAATCAGCAATGATCTAAAGTCCTGGCCTGGTGTTACAGAGTACTGTTATTGAAATTAGATATTGTATGTTGGGTTTATTGTAGCTTTACTATTACACATTTTTGGGGACATGGCTTTTTTTCCCCACTAGCAGGTAAAAGCAAGCTCCCCTTCCATTTGTAGCCAGGTTGATGGGACATCCTCTAAGAACACCTGTTTGGATCCAACCAGTTTCAGTCTAAGATAAGGGAACAGAGAAACAGACTTTCTTGTGAAAAGAGGGAAAAAAAGTTTTAAATAAGGTTACATTAGTGATTTGTTCCTAAAAAAACATCTGAAATAGCCATAAAGCCCTACTCTAACAAATAAAAATCAAACACAGAGAACCCAACTCCATGTTGCAAAACTCACAACAAAGCAACCTATTCCTAAAGCACTAACAACAACTTTAAAATAGCTCTCAGCTATCAAAAATCAGGAGGAACATCTTTATAGCTCACCCTGAAAGGCTTGTTTAAGGAAACAAGGTCACCTGCCCTGACTAATTGAGTTAGAATAGGGCACAGCTGCCTTTCCTTAGTCCCTGACAAGCTGAAATCACACCCAGCTAATATTCAAATGTTCCTCAAACAGAGACCTATAAGACCACCTGTAGAAATCTGATTCTGCAATGAACCCAGATTCTACCGTCCCCTGTACCTTTTACAGTTATTCACATGCTTACAAAGTGAGGTTAAAATAGGTGTAAATAACCACCACTTGGTCTGGCATGCATTTCTCCCTCACTTTGTGTTATTGTAGATAACTACATAACTGTCAGAATGACTAAGAAGCCGCCTCTGCAAGTCCTCACATTTCAGGGCTTCAGGAGTTGGCCTCACTACCTTTCTATAACTCCTCATCTCTCACCAGAATAGTGGGTGCCTGCCCTGTTACAGAAAGAAAGTGAAATAATTCTCAGCTTATTTATTATACTGTGCACCCCATTTTGCTTGTAACTGCCTACCTCGAAGCAGTTGTGTTGATATAAAATTAGAGGGCTAGAATTGCTTACTAGGCAAGAAAGATTTTTCCCATTCCTCATCCCCTCTTATAATATTGGTGAAATACCAGAAGAGTAATAGCAAACATTGTGAAATAGGATAGGACATCAAAGAAAATGTCCATGTCTCAGAGGTACCCCTAACTTTCCACAGTAGTGTGCAAACCTCCTGTATACTTTGGCAACCAAAGTCTTATGAAATATTTTCTTTGCGTAGCCTAGACATTCATCTCTATATTCTAACTTAAACCTGCAGGAATGCTTCCAGTATAAAACTAGAACAAGTGCTTCAGAAAACAAGAGCTCTATTAGTAGATAAAAAAGCTTATGACAGGCAAACTTTAACTTTAATAATAGCTTTATAGTCCACACTAGGATGCTGTTTAGAATCCTGGACATATGTTTAAGAATATTTTCTTGTTTGAACATATCTTAAAAGTATTGAATCAACAGCCTACAGAAGTGACAGTAATTTGAATATGACACATTTTTCGGGTTACAGGATATTAGCTGAATTAAGTGAATCCAAGAAAATTTTTGCCTAAGAAATGAAAAAAAGATTAAGTTAATTGGCTATAAATGGTGACACCAGAGACCATAGATTCCAGGTAGGATTCTGTGTAGCCATGGAATGAGAGCTCGGACCTTAGGATGCATAGTAATTCATCATTATCTATATGCTTATCTAGATAGTCATAAAAATGCTTTTATTTCTACACTGTCCATAATCAAGTCTTTGTGCTGGATATTCACAGACTGTCGTGAAGTCCAAATATTATGCTATTTGTCAAGTGTGATCACTGAGAACAACAAGCTACTGCTTTGAAAGGAATTTTTTCCCCCTGCATACTAAAGGTTTTAAAAATAAACCTTGTACACAAGCAAATGTAACTTTGAGGAAGATTAATGATTATTATAACAGTATTTATTAACAATAAATGGTATAACTGTATAGAACTCATTGATTTACTCTCTTAATGCTCCTATAATCTTCACATGAGTTTTGTAATTCATATACTGTTTTGTCTTGTGGGTTATCTGAAGCTTGTAAATGTAAGACTGCTGTCAGATTTGTTGGTAAGACAATCAATAAAATTAGATAGGCTCCACTTTGATTGTTGAAGATGTTAAAGATTATCTTGATGTGGTGTGAAATGGCTCTATGATCCTTTACTGAACTTGAGACAAAAAATGTAGTACAGTATATCTTCTCTGTTACACATTCCTGCAATGGATATTTCATAATGGATGTCTGTCACCAACACAGACTAAAAATGTGCTGCTCTCCTGTAGACCCACTTTCCCCAGCTGTAAATTCCAGCACCTGGTATTGCTTTCCCCCCATCAAACATGTATTAAGAATGCTGATATCCATTTGGCTTTCTATTTCCAGGTGTAGACTCCTATTTTTACCACCTCCTGAATTATATTATTTAAAAGATGGAGATTAAAAAAAATCTTTCTCTTTTCCCCCATGACAGATACCTATCTGTAATATCCTTTGTGAGAAGATTTATATATATGTTTTGATGTAAAAATAAGAATGTGGACATTTCAAGGGATTAATAATATGATCCAGAGTGATGACTGCTTCAGATCTAATTCAGATCAGTAGCTGAAAGTTATGGCTATCTAATGACTGTTGTGTGGGCTGTGCTAAGTAGTTGGGAAGCTCGTGTTAGCTCCCAGTGGACTAAATCAATCAGCAAATAGGCCAAAGACTGGCTAAATATGTAACCTGAACTGTGGGTCAGAGGTGATCAGTCCATATCAAGATTTCATAGTTTCATAGTAGCTAGGGTCAGGAGGGACCTGAACAGATCTAGCCTGACCCCCTGCCACAGGCAGGAATGAATGCTGGGTTCACAAGACCCCAGACAGCTGATCGTCCAACCTCCTCTTGAATATGCCCAAGGTAGGGGTGAGGACCACTTCCCTGGGAAGTTGGTTCCAGATTTTGGCCACCCTAACTGTAAAATATTGCCTTCTGATCTCTAACCTAAACCTATTCTCCATCAGCTTATGACCATTGTTCCTTGTCACCCCAGGTGGTGCTGGGGAGAAAAGGCTGCCCTCTCACCAAGCGGGTGGTCCTCCTCTGAACCCTCTCCAGGCTGGCCACATCCCTTTTGAAGTGCGGCGCCCAGTACTGGACGCAGTACTTCAACTGCGGCCTGACCAAAGTTGCATAGAGGGGGAGTATCACCTCTCTGGACCGGCTTGAGATGCACCTTTGGATGCATGACAAGGTATGGCTGGCCTGCTGGCTGCCGTCTGGCATTGGCAGCTCATGTTCATCTTGGAGTCAATGACTCCAAGATCCCTTTCCACCTCTGTGCTTTTAAGAAGGAAACTTCCCAGCCTGTATGTATGCTGTGGATTCCTTCTCCCAAGGTGCAGCACCCTGCATTTGTCTACGTTGAACCCCATCCTATTCTCATCTGCCCACTTTTGTAGTCTGTCTAAATCTAGTTGCAACCTCTCTCTCCCTGCAAGTGTGTCCACCTTGCCCCACATCTTAGTGTCATCAGCAAACTTGGACAGCGTGCTTTCCACCCCCTCATCCAAGTCGTTGATGAAGATGTTAAACAGTGCGGTTGAGGATATGAAGAATATGAGGGAGGGTCTTTCAATCCTGTACCTCTTTTCTAGGTTTTATTTTCTAGAAATGTCACACTGGAACTTCCTTTGAGCACCTCATTCATTTTAAAATGCTTTTCACTTTGTTTCTAGACACAGGATAGGGTTATATTGTCATACAAATATCCAAATTCTTCTTCTGTCCATTTCCCAAGGTAAGAGCTGCCCCAACATGCTTATTTTCCCTGTTTTCATTAGAGCAGACAATAGTGCCTATGAAATCACAAAACCCTTTCCAGAGTTGAAGAAATATCTGCAAACATCTGGTATACTAGCTAGAGCAGGGGGAGATGATTTCAACTGATGAAGTGTTTCTCTGTAATTAGTAGGCAGAATCTTGGAAAAAACTAGAATGGAATTCATAGCGTTTGATTCCCTCTTTCGTCCTCTTAGTTGTTCCATGTATATTATTAGAACCCAGACATCCAGTAAGCTTTATATCAGTACAATGCATTGAAAGCTGCAGTTTGTGGATACCCACTTGAGATGGAGGGGAACAAGGAACTTACTTGCATAAGTCCTGCCATCTGCTTTCTTATGTACAGTTTTGTGCATAGCCTGTTTATGTATGCTAATAGGCATTACAGTACAGTGACCACTTGGGACAACACAATGACTGCTTGGGGCACTTATTCTGGATGCCTTGGAACTTAATTACAATATTCTTATATCTAGTCAGGTCTTAGCTAGCAGCAAAATTAGCTGCCCCTCTTTTGGGTTTTCCACCATCCTTATATTCTTACTGTTGTGAATTTTTTTCCCAATAGCCTATACCTTTAAGCCCAAGCAAATTAAACCTTACAAAGAAATAAAAAGGCTGGAAACAAGATAAACCTGGAAGTTTTATATTTGAAATAAATTTTCTATAGGTTTCCTGTTAGTAACAATGATTCACAATAGTATATGTCCAAAAGATAAAGGCTTTCAATGATAATTTGCTAAAAGTAGTAAGAAACACTTATGTGCACTATTTTGAGATTAGTTGGTCATCTGTTGTGTTATGTCTTTGAACTGTACTGTCTGTCCAGTTATTTTGCAAGCCAATGCAGAGTGCTAAGTACACTGTCAGCACTCAAAAAAGAACAACAACAAAATGGATTGTGTTTTCAATCACAAAGTATATTTTAAAGCATTTCCATGCTGTCTACATTTTTAATGGTATATCACGGCAGTTTCAATGTTTGCAACAGCTGCCTTTTTTTTCAATGTCCTATGATCACTTACACATTTAACAACTTCCTCAGTAGCATTAGTAATTCTAGGCATCTTCAGACACCCTTTTCTGAAAACATTAAAAACACAACAACAGATAAACTCCATAAGCATTCAGGGTTACACTGTTAAGTTTTAGGGTGCTTTTTTTCTCCCTCAGAATATCAAGAAAAGAGAAGCAATATATAATCTAATATTTTTAATTTTATGTACAGGAATATAATGTATGACATCTTTGTACATGAAATACATACAGTATTTAAACATTAAAATCAAACAGATAAGAATTTACATTAGCAATGACACTGACTGATCTGCAGCCCAGTTAATATTTAGTTTAGATCTGCATTTTAATGGAGATGCTTTTAATAGTTTACAATCATAGAAACATAGACATTTAAAACAAGACTTTATAAAATAATTTACCGAAATCCTACCATCTACATAGAGAGAAAATGTTTCTGTGTGGTTTTGTATGTGAATAACAAGGTGGTTGAATGACTTATCTCAGCCTTTTAAGTAATAAAATAATTTAGAAGCAGTTCATGCAATATGGAAGCAAAAGAATGGCAGTTTCTTCAAGGTTTCTTGCTACCTTTGCCATCTACTGAGCATCAAATGTGGACCGCTGGACAAATGATAATACAACTGCTGGATGCCAATAAAGAACACCAGGCTCAGTTCCTCCAAACAAGTACTTATGTAAACATAAATATACAAGTTGATATATTTTCTACACAGTACAAATACAGGTCACAACTTCTCAGCTGTGTAAGTAGTCAATCTGTATACTTAAAGTAAGATAACGTTCAGATTAGAGTTCCATATATTTTTATATACAACGTCACTAACAGAACTTCCTTGTTTTCACTAGTTTGCTCTGATATTTGACTGAATGTCCTCCATGCCCTATGACATAAACATCCAGCAGGTAGGACTTGCCAGGCTGCAGACCTTTAATTGTCTCTGTTGTCACTGCTTTTTGTATATTCTGGCTATGAAAATATTTACAGAGGACTTTTTCTGATTTCTTCCTTGTGTCTGGACCCAAGCACTGGTTCTGTTGTCTTTTCTTTTGTTCTTCATTATAATTGTCATCCACTTCCTTCCTATAGATGCAAAATTTATTTCTCTCCTGTGTGCCTAGCCATGCCACTGTGACTGAAGAACATGTGCGAAGTTTGTCAAAGGCTTTGATTCTGGTATCTTCAGGGAGAGAAGGAAATGACTGCTTGTTAGGTCTTGTTGTAGCCAAAATCTTCAACATGGAGGCACCTTTCTTACTTCCTTTCAGTCTAATTAGATATTTACCTTTTGGTTTTCCTCTCAGTTGGAACTGACGGACGCCCTCAATGTTTTGAGACAAGATAAGTTTTCCATCTCTTCTAACCTGGATCTGCACAGCATCTAGGCATGAATGAACAAAGAAGGTGACCTTTTGGTGTGATGAAACAGGAGCAAACCGTAAAAATTTGGCTCCCTTTCTCTTGATGAATACATCTGTAACTTTTCCCTCTTTCAGTTCAACTGTCTTCTGTTTGGCTTCCTCTTTAGTTCGGGCAAAGGTGCCAACATAGGCGGTGCTCATATTTGTGTCAATGTTAACTGCAAACATGTCAAAGTAGTATTGTGTATCAGGTTTTAAATCAGAAACTGTGAAGATGTTCTTGTTCCCAATACAAATTTTCTGCAGATCAACCCTTGGCTTTGGAGGAAAGTGGCGCCCAAGCTTTGGAGATTTTATGAAGCTACGTTCTTTGCCTGAATTATTTTCTGAGGGAAAGCCAAAATGGGCAAAGTCAAATGGACTGAAATCCAGACCTGGTTTTGGAGCCATCATGAAGGCATCATCAGAATTGAGCTTAGCTTCCACAGCACAGAGGCTTTTGAAATTGTGCTCTTTATTGATGACTATACAATACTGAATAGGTTGTTTCAATAAAGATGCTGTAGGACTTGGTTTCCATGCCAATGTGACTGTTGTGCGTCCAAGAGAGGTGACATCAACTCTTGGATCATAAGGTAATTCAGGATAAGGTTGATCTGACTCTGGAGTTGTAGTGGCATATACTTTAAAGTGTGTATCTTTCTCTGTTGACAGGAGTTCTAACTGGTACAAGCCAGATGGGGAACTGGAGGACACAAAGTACTCAACATCATTTCCTTTGTAAGAGAACAGCTCCGTGCTTTCTTCATTAATAATCTGCTGTTTCTGCTGCTCAAGTGGTTCTGGTTCACCTAGATTATGACCAAAGAAAAATGTTTGTAAGAAAACATGTCATTATATGAGAAAATGAAACTCGAATACCTATTTTAAGTAAAATATCAGAACCAGATGAAACAGGTGATTATGGGGAAGAGGACATCCAGTCAAAACTAATAATCAGTCAAAAATAGACTGGCTCTGGTAGTTCTTTTTGCTTAAATACCTATTAAATGGTAATATCATTACCTCCAAATACTGTATAGCTCAGACAACAAGAATGCATTGTTGAATTAGTGTTATGACAATAGTTATCCACATGGTGCTAGTAAGGGAAGGGTTTTTTTTTAAATCCATATGTCACAAGAGGTGTCTTACTGTAAAGACACAATCTCTCCCCTTTCCATGGGGCTCGTTAGTTATTGTTTTCTTCTGAATATATTTTCTGACCTTTTTAGTCTTGGAGCCTGTAACAGGTGCAGTCTTCCCGGGGCTAGTTTGATGCTGGTCCGCCCACCTCTCTCTGGGCCAACCTGCCTCTCTTTCCTGCCATGCCTTGATGATACATAATTATGGCGTTGATTAGGTGGGAGGCTGCCCATTTTTGCACCCCAATGTTTAGGGGGATCTCTGCAGCTCTATTTCACCCTTACACTGCGGCCCAAGCCTCGGAGATGGCATCTCAGGCAGCTAAACTCAGCTGTGCCCTTCACCTCATTTGCTGTGGTCCCCTCCCTGGGACCTTCTCCTCCCCCTTAGGTCCTGGCCCCATCTCAGGCCAGTCAGGACCCCGAGCCTCTTTGCTTTGTGGGCATCCCTTGCGGTGGGCCCCTGGCCCTTCGACCCCTCTCTGGATCCTGGCCCCAGCATGGGCCAGTCAAGGTTCCTCGGGACAAACCTGAGCTGCTTGCCTGCTTTTTCCCTCACAAATCTGCTGGGTCGCATGAGCCTCAGGCCTCTCACTGGCCTGGGCTTTCCCCAGCTAGGACTGTGCATGGGCTGAGGGTTATTAGGCACCTCCAACCCACCTTTCACCAGGGTGGTAACTGTTCTGGCATTTTTGAGGGACTGTTTTGCCACAAACAGCCCCGCCAGACCACCCATCCCCAGAAGGGTGCAGTTTTAGTACATGCCTAGTACCTGGAGCCTCCTCCATCCCCACAGCATAGCTCCAGCTCATAAATCTCCAAGCTGTTCCTGAGTCTCAGCTCCAGTGGCTGCCAGAAGCAGACCGCTGCTTCACCCTATATATATCCTGGGTCTCAAAATGGCCACAATACTCCAACGCCTGGCTGCTGCCTGCTCCAGCCCTTAAAGTGTCAGGAACCAACAGTGCCCTGCCATAGAACCTCTCTCATAAAACTTCCCTCAGGTGAGACTTGTGCATCCCAATGTGCTAAACTCACCAGGAGCATTGACAGACTGTATTCCTTTACCTAATTTGAGTAGTTCTTTCTTTTTCCATGAATCTGATTGTCTTCTGTCATCCTTTTAGATGTTTCATTCACCAGACGATTGTATGTATCAAATTGTTACAGATACAGGCAGATTTTAATCAGTGATTTAGAGCTGAAAATCTCCATTATCAATTCTCTCATCAGTAAAGTACCAGAATTAAAATTTCCCTGTTACCTGAACTTTCTCCACTGGCTTCTTCTGGAAGTTCCTGCAGACTCAGCTTCCATTCCAAAGGAGCATCACATGGTGTTACAGTAACTGCTAAAGGAGTGTTATCTTCTTCAACCACAAAGAAATACCTATGGAAAAAGTAACACATTCATAATATCACTCAATTCTGATGAAAACTAACAGGCATTGACATGTCTAGAGCCTGAACTCCTGTAACAGAATTCAGTGTAGTAGAGGGATATCCAAGCTAGTTTTAACTGTCAAGCATAAGTTCTGATATCCATCAGGCAGAAAATCACTCACATCATCTTAGGCTAATTTACCTGGCTTCTTAGAAACACAGTAGAGAACAATGGGACAGTAGAGAGTAGGAGGAATAAATGTGGTGGAAGGACCAATACAACATTGGTCACATTTCTTTTTCCTTGGACCTTGGATTTTGTTCTCACTTTAAAGGACATCTGTGGTTTCTGGTGACTCACGACTTACACGAAAATAAGATCTCCCTCCCCCCAAAATAAAAAAAACAAAAAAACCCCATCAAAAACTGATATTTTTCTTTCTGGGACTCTAAAAATTGGTTCCAAAAATAAAAAAGAAATAAAATTATTGACTTCATGCACAACTCCATTATATTTATACTAATCAACTTACCTCTTAGGTGTGTCCCGGAAGAGATAGCTGTTAATTTCAGCTCCATCTGGAATTACTGATGAATCGTGGAAAAATGTTTTGTCCCTAATCTGCATCTGGAAAAGTTCCTCATCTCTGGTAGGCAACTTTTGGGTCCTGGAACTGAGTGGTAGCAGCAGGAAGAGCAAAGAACAATGAAGCAGGTGCATCCTACAACAACAAAAGGGATTCCCATGTGATGTCTTCCAAATTGTATCACTGTAGTAACTGCTACTTTTTGATACTCAGTTTGTTTTATTTTAATTCTATGGCTTTATTTTTATGAGCACATACCAATTAAAAAAGGATGATAAAACAATATATTTCTCATGAATTTGGGCCAAATCCTTAACTGGTGTACACTAGTGCAGTTCTTTCCATCAATTTTTCAGCTGAAAAGCTAGCTTTTTATGCAAACCCTACATCCCTATACAAATTGTATTTAACAGAACATTTCCTACAAATATTACAAATTATAAGAACAGAACATGTCAATCTCAATACAGTTTAAACCCATAAAAAAATAAGAGAAAATATAAACTGAAGACTTTCATCTCTGATGTGCATTTATTTTACATATATATGGTGGTGGTCAGGTGTGTACTTTATATTTTATGGGAACCTCCAATTTTTGTGGTTTTATTCATGTCAAAGAATTAGCAATATATATAATAAGGGACAATCTTGCTTTGCCAGAGGGATTGACTAAGTATCTAAATAGGATTTTTCTATCTCTAAGTGAAGCTGATCCCACTCACTAGTTTCCCTAATTAGTGTTTTCTGTTGCTCACTACCAATGAGCAAAAGCCTCCATATATTTTGTAGATCTATATTTGACATTTTGCCAAATGTAACTTGCTGGACATGGGAATGAGCACTAGCACATAGCAGACAGAGGTTATGTTGACTACACTTTCCTGAAGAGATTTTGGTTGGACTCCCAGAAATCCCTTAAAAATGAATATTTCCAGTGAAATTGCCCTTTATAAAAATAGTGAATTAGGAAATTTATGATATAATCCCATATGCATTCAAAGCACATTGTTATTTGTGTACAATTCAGCAAGACTTAATCCTCAAGTCTGATGGGAATTCCAAAACACAAAAGCAAAGAATCCTTTACAAATTAGGCATAATAATTCATAATCTCAGCCTTTCATTATTATGTCTACAGCTATGTCAGTAATGACTACCCTAAGATATACAGTGGGATAGAATGAAAATCTTTTGGTTCAGTACATGATCTAATATGTAATGGATTTTGTAAGGAAAAGAGCTGAGAGGGATAAAGGGACTGTTTGATACCAGCAAGAATAGGGGCAATTTAAATTATATTTTGATACAGTTATAAAATTTTAAAAATCAGATAAAATAATTCAAGTCTTTCTACCTAAACTATGGTTCTTTTACTGAGTTTGTAGAAAAGTATAATAAAAGGAATGAGTCAAAACATTCTTATTTTCCTTTCTTTACTGTTATTAAAGCTAGGCATATCAGTATCCACCTTTCTTCTATGATGCGGGCAGGTTTATTATATCTTTATAGCAAACACTTCTTTAGATCAAATTTTATAATGTGTATTGTTTCCACTTGATCTTTTTGTAAAGCGGCAAACTCATGACTCCTTGTGAAGCCATGATATTTCACTCATCATAGACCTGCTCTTGGCCTTCAACCTCTATATCAAAACATAAACATCCACCACCCATTGGAACACCAGCAGGCCTTCTCTCTCCTTTTTCATAAAGGTAAACTACTAAAAGCTTCCAGTGAACTGCAACAGCCAGCAGGGGCTATGTGTAGATCTCATCTAGCCAACAAGGTTTCCTCTACCTGTTCTTCAGTAAACCTTCAGCAGAGACCTCCAAAACCACAGGGACTCAAGGGTTGCCCATCCCCTCTTCTTCCTCAAGATTTCAGCTTCATATTCTCTATTATATCCCTTACAAAATCTTCAGAGACCCTGCTCTGTACTAAAATCAGTTATCCTTTCCTTCACTGAAAATGTAGGTTGGCTCAACTCTCTGAATCCAGTACTCCAGTATGCCAGTACTCTCTGGCTGCATCTACATGAGACACTACTGAACAGTGGTTACTGAGCATTTATTTAGTACTTGTATAAACAAATAATAATATATGCACAGTAACCTGAGTTACTGTGCAGTAGCACCGGTGAATGCTTGTGATGCTACTGCGCAGTAGCGTCGCATCACAGTTTTTGCCATACAATGCTTCTGCACAGCAGTATCAGGCTGTGCAGTCAGTGTCTCGTAGACATGCCCTCTCTTTCTGAATCCAGTTGCCTTAAATCACCCCATTTAGTCTTATAATTGCTCCTTCCATGCTAATCTGTCTCTTTAAACATGCTAGTGCCATGAACTCTCCTATTCTCTGCATTCTGTCTCTTCTCTTGCCCCATTCCTCTCTTTACTCCAGCTCTCCATCCTACCATCCTCTCCTATTGCAACTCATATTTTCCCTTCTCTCTGCCCTTGCCCACAATGAAAATTATAGAGGGAAGAATGAATGAGGGAAACAAGTTTATGTAACAGTACCCAATGTTGACTGAACATTGCAAATCAAATTTACAAAAACTCAGTCTCATTAGAATGTTAGCATGCAGCTATAACAACTCTACGTAATCCAATCTTTATCTTACTCATTTGACACTCCTCCTCTCTTACATGTGAACTATCTACCTCTCCTTACAGTCTGTTGTTTTCCCTCAACATATATATTCTTACACATAAGGTCAGATCTAAGGAATATCCTAAGGAAAGTGGGCTTGAAAGAAAAGAAAACCGAGTGAGGTTCACCTTCATATTCTTCTGTCAGACAGATAGGCTCATCTTAAAAGATCTCCATCCCCATTTTTAGAGCACTCAGCAAAGAGGATGGGTACCATTGCAGTACGTTTTAAACCTGTATGTTATTCTCACTCCCTCTCTCAGGAAGTTCATGAATGTGTTGAATACAGTTTTAGGAGTTATTTTTCAGTAGCACAGTCAAAGTAGACTACACCTTTATTTATTCTGTGACAATCTTGCAATATCAACATATATCCATATGACCATGAGGTTCAGTTACCATATTCTTTATTAGTGGGCCTTACAAGCCTTCATTCTATCACTTGAAGCATTTGAAAATGAATATTTTATTATTTATTGTATTTTATTTTTATTATATTGTTGTGCCATAACCACTTTCATAGGAAGAGGGAATGGGCACTTTAATTAAGAAAATTTAATTTTGTTTATAGCCAAATCAAGATTCTGTTTCTACAAGGTTTGTCAATATTTATCATAACTTGTCTCTCAACTTTTTTTATAAAGAGAAACCTGAAAATCAAAGTGTTTATGCTTACCAGCTAACCTAATGGCATTTGACCTTGGGAAGAAAAGTCCATAAGAAAAAAAACTGCTGATTTAAGTCACCCAAGTCAGTATCTCACCCCTTATATAACATAGGATGATTTCTGTGTGTAATAAAACACTTTGTTTATTGATTTTCAAGTATTATCCTTGGCCCAGAGGGAGGAAAAAAATATTTCTGACTTAATCAGAACAATTACAACAGATTACTTAGTAAGCTAAGAAATTCTTACTCTTTCTGAAGACAGCGTCCTCTAAATGAACCGCCCTGAAATCCCAATACAGTATATTCTCAGTGTCAGCCCCAATGCAATTTAACCTTTATTAAAATAAACTACTTTTGATTATAGGATTACGCATAGTAAGCTTCAGTTCTTAAATTATTTCACCAAATGATCCACTTTAAAGACTCTTGCAGACTGGGTCTGTGTCCACATTAGCAATTTGGATGGGGGGAAAGGTATACTTTACTTTCTGTGTATAATCACCCAAGCATTCTTTATGTTAAACATAACACCAACAATATGCTGGGGTTAGTTCTGCAGTCCTTTTTAAGGCAAGGACCTAATATAGTCAACAGGGATTTTATCTCATCAAAGACTGCAGACTGGACCATTTCATAGTTGTTAAACCTACAAATAAAGAAACACATTTTTTAAACTTCCTGGCTGAAAAATGTTAAAGGTGAATTTAATTTGGGTGTGTTCACTGTTAGGTACCCAACTCGATACAATTGAAAGGGACTTCATTTTTATGCATACTGCATTCTAAAATTCATTTAAAAGCTGAGGCTCATCTATACAACCATTTGTCTGGCAAATCTACACCTAAATGTAAGCCACTTATTTTACACAATCCATTGACTCTAAATCTAAAAAAGAGAATGTTCAGCAATACACCACTTATATTTTCACATCGATTTTAGTGAAATCTTGCACTTATACAAAATGCCCATTACATGAGCAAGTCAAGAATTTATCTGTGTTCAAATGTATTTTTGGTCAAGTTTATAACTCACCACTGACTTCTGTAACATCTCTGAAAATGCATTTAGTGCTTGTGAGCATATAGTTAGTGATCTCCCTGCCTAGCCCTCACACACTTCTTGGAAACTTTCAGTGAATGTTTTATTTGTCCCCCATAACCAGGTCTGAGCCTGGTTTATTTTTAGAACACATGTAAAAGAAAAGGCCTACAAACTGTTACTCCAAACCTATACAACTATGTGAAATATGCTGTGTTCTCCTCGCTATGCCACCTCCTAAATGTCTTTTATTCCCTTTTCTACCAGTTGGTCTTGTTTTCTTTTCCTTTAAATACAGAGTCAATATTTTATTGATATACTCCTGCTGACTGGAGGGATTTGCCTGCTGTTTATCACTGATTTTAAGCTGAGAGCCAAAGTAAACAGTCCTAAAGGAAAGAATAAGCACAGCTTTCTTTCTCTAAGATTGCAAAAGTGCCCTCTAATGGCCCATCTTTACCTCTCCTTTAAATTTTCTCCAAGTTCTTTTTCTAGCCTAAAACCTAAATCAGTCTATGAATATGAATGTAAATCTGATGACCAGTCAGTCTGTGTGAATCTGATCTCTGAATTCTAGATAATTACAGCTGGAATAAAGTAGATTATGAGACAGAGTTTGTGCTGCTGATCTGTAGGTCAAATACTGACATGGTGTTTCCTGCTAACTTCAAAAAAAGAAGTGGGGGGGACTTGTCATCCTTAAGGCTCCATGAATGTCTTCTGTCCTAATTTATAAGAGAAGGAAAAGAATATTGAAGAATAAGCACAAATGGAGAAAAATAAAAACAATTCTTTGAATTTTTTAAAGAGGAAAATTGACAAACAGGTGAACAGGGTGTGCTCATGTGCATGGGCCTCAGCCTCCACTTCTTTGTAGTCAGAGTAAAGTTAGTCTTACACATCTATTACACATACGTTTGTTTATATACAAAAATATGTATAAGCAGAGTCTATTACAAGACAGCATGTGTATTGGATCGACCGACAGAACTGCCAACCAAAATGCCCCAAGACTAAGTTGCAAAACAAGCATTCACAAAATCATCTTTAAATGCCTTGTTCTATGGAAAATATTTGCTTTATTCCTCAAGTACCTATAGGTCACAGAGACCTGTAAAAGATTTGCCGTAACAAAAAGGGATCTAGGGTTACTTGAAGCAAATACATCTAGAATAAATAAAACCTAATGTTTAATTACAGAGAGTGGAAAGTGCATGATTGTAATTTAGTTAGGATAATTTCAAGGCACAGACAGCCACAACATTTTGTGTTGTGTTTCTTTCTTTTTTGTATCGATGGTTAACTTTTTCCCCCTCTGTGTCCTATTTTTAAACTTAAGGCAGTTAATTTTTCTTTGAGGTATCCATGCTATATCTGATAACAAATCTATAAAACTTGAAATAGTTGTAAAGAGAATGTGGCCTTGGAAAATAAAAGGTGCCATATGTCTGCTCTGACCAATTAAAGGAACACTAGAGTTAAGGCCCCTTGAGCTTTTTACATTATAGACCCCTATTTTCAGGGTTTTGTATCTCAGCTGTAAAAATTAGCTCAGGTGGCAAATGCAAAGTGTACAGCAGTATTTTTAAAACCCAATTTGTTCACCAAATATTATTAAAATATGTTTGGCTATCTCTGGGGTTCAAGGGCAAACATTATGTTTTATCATTTAAAATTATTGGAGAGTTCCCCCCCACTGCCACCCACCGATACACAACGCTTTGTTCCATTAACATCAGTTCAGTTGTTCCCTCATTGAAGAATGTATTTTTAGTTACTTTAGTCCTTTACGCCATAAGTATAAATAGGAGCTTTTTTGTATTTGAAAAAAGAAAATTTATATATTGACATAATTCCTTTGCCATTTCAGTGGCAGGGCATTGGCATCGGCCTTATCTCCCTGATTTTTTTATCTGTGGACATTCCAGAGTATATTTGATTTTGTTTTCCTAAGGTGCTTTGTGGCTGTGGTGTGAGATTGCAGTGGACGTTCTTTTGGACTTTTTAGATAAATGGATACCTGCAAGTACATAGGACTGGACTCAGTGGGCTGTTGAACCCTTGCTAATTTCAAATTATTATGTTCCAAAGGAATATGGCCATAGAGTACACACACAGCTTTTCGTTTTCTCACAAGATTGATAGTATGCATAGTGAGTGTGCTTGTGCAGCACAGAGTCCAGATTGACATGCCAACTTCAATTGGCATAGCAAACTACAACTGTGAGGGAAAGAGCACTAATGTACTATTGTGTCCATAATCCTGGATTTAAACTCCCTAACTACACACTAACACGATGGACTATAATGACTCCTTTGAAGCTTTTAGGGTCCACCATGTCAGTAATCTGTGGATTAAAAAACCTTTTCTTGCCATTCAAATTCAAGTCCTGTTTTTCTTTTGTTGAAAGTATTATTTTAAGAAAAGAAAATGCAGTAGCATACAAACAAAACAGAACAGAACAAAACAAAAAAGCCCAAAGCAAAACCACAAAATAAAAAGAAACCTTGTGTGAAAATTAAAATGTTTGATAACTGAAAGACAAGATTTATATTTCCAATAATTTTTTTTATGCACAGAACTGGCAATCTGGACTACAGTTAAAAGGACCTGTTATCTCCAAAGGGCTGAGATTTTATTATAAAAATATTTTGGGAAAGCTTTAGATTAGTCAGGCTGAAAAGTAAAATAGTCATGAAAACGCAGTACAAAAACTAGTCCTCACAAGGACTACTCAATTTCCGAACACAGCTTTATTTTTTTACTTTTAAGAAAAAGTACACTACATTATAACATCAATGGAGTTGCCATTCTGGAGCAGATCATTGCCCTAATTAGCTGGATGCTTCAGAAAACATTGAACCTGAACTTTATGGCCACTACATAATGCTACCATACAATTGTAATGTGTTGAGGCATGCACCCTGTAAAAGCATGTTGTAAGGAAAGACATAATAAAAATGTAAAATATCACATTATGTTATATTTGATTCTCCATGCGCTCATAATAGTTTTACATCCATGTGACTCGTTAGACAATGATGAGACTAAAAGAAAAGCAGGTCCCCTATTTTCCACTATTCTCTTTGCAAAAATTAACACCATACCTCAACTTTAAAGTAATTTTATTTTTGCTGCTGCTGCTGCTGCTGTTGTGAGCAGAATCTAATAACCCATGGAGAAACAAGAACCCCTACTGAGTGTCTTTTGCTCTGTATTTCTGTAGTATTCAGGCTGAGTCCCTACCCACTGGTAGTTTTGCATGCGCTCCTGGGTTTTACATTGTACATTTGATATAAGTTAGAACAGCTGTTAACATTATGTTCATTATGTACCCTGCAAAAAAACCCTACAAAAGCCCTTCACAGCTTTGTAAAATCATTTTTTTTTAAATTACAAGGTTCATTAACTTCATTGACAAATGTCCAATCTTCTACATCAAACACTGATTTCAGTATGCTTCTTAGAAATGCGATCCAAAACTTATAGAAGTTTCCATGGAATTAAATGAGTTCTGGATGAAGCATTAAGAATTTAGACATTACAAAACCTTAATTCTGTCATGATGAATGACAGTTTAAGATAATAAAAAATTACTATTATATGCCCAGCATTTGATCTTTCATTGCACGAGCAGAATGTATTTAACAAAAGAGAGTACTTACCTACCTCATTTTACAGGTGAGAAAATTGGGGCTGAAAGTGCACAAATGTGCCAAGGACACATCCAAATTAGTGCCACCATCACATAGAAATAGAATCTAAGTCATGTTTTCCCACATCCCCCTTTTTTAAAAAGCATTGGACATTACAACGTCCCTAGACCAAGTCAGTTAGACCTTCAGCATGTCACTAAGAGAGTCTGTGTTACCAGAGAAACAGAAATATGCATGCAGGAAGTATAACCAAGAATTGCAAACTGTGGAAATAGTTTGCTATTTGGTACTCAGTTTTTTCCTGTTAATTTAGAAATACAGAAATAGGCATATTGGAATGATGTTGCTACCTACTACCTTTACAGAAACTGTGAACAGTCAATACGTCAGTATGGTTTGGTGCCCTATTGAAAAGCCAGACAGAGGGCTGAAAGAAGTAATGGGGCCTAAATATCTTGCTGGATACCATTATTACTGTGCCGGAATTTGAGGTTGGAGGTGGGAAGGAGCTTCAGAAAGCTCTCTACAAAGCCAGAATAAATAAAAAAACTGTAAAAATGAGTAGCTACCATTATTTGAACCATTTTTCCTGTTCTGGAAGTTCTTCTCAGCTGAACTTTGGCATCTGCTAGCAGTTGAGTTAGTTGTTTGTAGAAGACAGACAAAATAAAAGGGCTAATGCACAGAGTTCCAAGAGAGAGAGACCAGTGAAGTACTGAGGGTGACTTGGCCAACATTATGATTTATGAAGCCCAAAGAAAGAGCAGTGTCTGAAGGCAGGAGAAATCCAGGTGTGGGTAGCTTCTGCCTCTGATCTTGTTGCTGAATGGGCTGAGCTTACAAAGGTATGAATAGCAATGATAGCACTCACATTTTATATCTATGTTGTGATTACACTGACATTCTTACATTTTTTATTTTCCTTTTGGTAGGTTATACAAGAGTGGGGGGTGGGAATTGTTTCACTTTTTTATGGGGAGCCAGCTGTGCGCATTGAGGCCATTTCTCCTTGATTTCCCAATGGTTTTCCATTGAACAGCGATTCAGCATACTTAACGGTAATGTTATAGTGTCTTCCTTTCTGTGCTTTCTCACTAGTTGACTCGTGAATCCTACTTAAAAGATAATGAATGATTGGGCAAATATCCAGAACACCAATGTTAGTAACAGCAGCAGCTCTACTAATAGTCATCTCTAAACTGTAAGAGCAAACCAGTAGGTCGCTAGGCTTTGTAAATGATTCATTCCACACCACAGGAATCTAGCAAGCTATTCCCTGGTTCCATAATAATTGACTCAGCCACTGGACTGCAAGCAAAATGGGTTCTGGGGTTATGGCTTGTTTACAGCTGTCATATGAATGTTTGCTTTCCAGACCAGTGACATAGCATGGTGCAGGGATCAATTCCCAAATAACTTTGTGTATTAGGAAAAATAGCCTTTTGTCAATCTAATAAAGCTCAGTAGCATATTAGTTGGAGACAAGCAGGGGGACGTTAGCTCATTTGAAAAAAAAAAAAATTTCCCCATTCTACTTGCATTATTTTGGGTTTACCTGAATTGTATGAACCAAATCATCAGCTGACAGTCAGGCTAAACCAGCTGAGAGTTTTACCCATCTCTTTAATTAGCACATTAATATAAATTACACAGATAGATTACAATTTTTTATAATTCAGTAATTTTTATCAGAATCCAAAATTGCAACATTAAATCTGACACTAAAATCATATTTAGTGCTATATACATTCAGTTTCACAAGAATGCAAGTATGCCTATTAGTCTTAAATGAATAGTCATAGGTCACAATTCTGTGTCTAGTATACCCCAAAGAGCAATATGATATTGCTGAGATGCAAACATTTGTTGAGTGTTTGAAAATAGAAAGTACTATAGGCCAATACGAAAATACTAACAAATATTTACATATTTCTACCACCGTTTTCAGCATTGTAGAGTTAGGAGAGGAGACATCACCCAAAATTAAATCAACTGACTTCAATAATACTCTTAATGTTGATATGCCCTACACCTTGCAACTCCAGAAAAATGTTGCCATTAAGACAAATGAACATTTGCCTCTTTACCACCTCTCTTTGATGTCTATTCTTCTTTGTCATGCTGTACAAAAAACAAGATGCATTACCTGGTTACACAAAAGGTGGTGACCGAATAGAGTTCACTCAGCCATGGATATAATTCTAAGCCACCTCACTTTCTGAACAGCTGGTGTGTTGTCAAGAAAAACGCGTATGCCCACATCCTGGAGGAAACATGGCAATGACACACCCATTGGGGTGTGTGAAACGGGTCATATTTGATTTGAATTGGGGACAGTGATTTGATCCGTTTATTCAGATCACTGTCCTGATTCGATTTAGCCAAATCCGAATCTGAAGATTCAATGCTGATTTGGAGAATCAGCGATTTGGCCATAGACACAGCTTTAAATGTCTTTTCTACATACATCGAGGTATCAGGCATGGCTCATGAACGCTGCAATGGTGGGGTGGATGGCGTGTCCCACAGAAGTGCTGGGGGCCGCCCCGTGTGCTTGGCAGTAGACCCAGAAGTGAACCAGAAGTACTTCCAGTTCACTTTTGGGTCCACTGCTCAGCACGCAGGGGACCCCCCACCGTACCCCCTGGCTCAGAGATCAGTTGCAGGGAGGACCCTGGGTGCCCCCCCAGACCCAGGAGGCAACAGTCGCCAGGGTAGGGGGAAGGTCCCCCGTGCGCTTTGCAGTGGACTGGGAAGTGGACCGGAAGTGCTTCTGGTCCACTTCGGGGTCTACTGCCAAGCACACGGGGCGGCCCCCAGCACTTCTGTGGGACACGCCATCCACCCCACCATTGCAGCGTTCATGAGCCATGCCTGATACCTCGATGTATGTAGAAAAGACATTTAAAGCTGTGTCTATGTCCAAATCATTGAATCTCTTTGGATCTCTCTCAATGGATTCGGTTCTGATTCAATTCAGAGAAATTAAAGGGTCTCCTGATTCAATTCAGATTTGGAGATTCGGCCGCCAAATTGAGCCAAATCTCCACCGAATTGAATCAGCAACCGAAGCTTCGCACAGCCCTAACACACATGTCATGCCAGCCAAGCTTGTCTGGATATGGATTGCTGTGTTTATTAGCTACTGGCAGGCAGCTTCATTTAATGCTTCCAGGGCTATGGATTCAGCCAGCAAAGAAGGACCACCAGACAGAAGAGGAAATATGTAATGCCCACAGAGCAGCCCCAGAGGTCCCCAGAACCAGACGTTAGCCTTTTGACACCACAGAGCATTGACATAAGTACGTTATTTCAGGAGTACATCTGGCAGTGAGAAGACCACAGGCAACAGAATGACAATAATATTGCCCCTGGATTTTATACCCCTTGTTTCTTTTTCTTTCTTTTTTAACTTCTTCCTGTCTTTCCCCTGGGTGCAGGTTCTTCCAATACCAGCACAATTTCTATACCAGTAAATTTGAGAAGAAGGAAAGTTTTTGGTACTGATATTCCTTTTTTGCACTTTGTGAAGCTTGTACTGTTAATTTCAAGCCCACACTTATGTGTGTTGCTCCACTGGTTGCCTGCATTCTTTTGGTGGAATTATATTATTTCTAGGATGCTCATACAGGGGTAATGAGCAATATTAGCTATTAGTTGCTGTAACATTTATTTCAGATTATTTTTGGTGCAAGGCCCATATTCATGACGTGAAAGTGACATGGGATAGAGCTGTGTTTGGGGCTGGTTAGGCTTTGTAGTGTCGGTGACATACTTTGGGATTTAACGAGGTATTTTGTTTTCTAAACAGCTCCAATCATATACTTCCTGTATGAACAAGCTGCAAAAACTGCTGAGTGGGAAGACTTATGGTCCACACATGAACGCTACGGTGTTTTCAAAAGTGTCAGGGTCAAATACGGGGATGGGATAAAGGATTTCAAAATGAGATTATTGAGGGAGTAGATTTCAGCTTCTCTCTGCTGCAAGTCCAGTGTTTGTTTGTCCAGCCTAGCAGGTGAAAGGTTAGTTCTTTATCTAGTTATTCTGAACAAAGGCTGAGGGAACACATACAGGCAGCTAGGTCAGATTGTTATGGGTGAATGAACATGCAAACAATACGAAAACCTTCAGACCTTCTATATGTTACCCATACCGCCTCATCAGTGAGTTTTAACATTGTTTTAAAAAAAGAAAAAAAACAAAGTTTCTGGAAGAAAGGCTTTAATTAGTTCAGAGTTCAGGATGTTCATGCTTCTGGCACTAGCAGGGGATTTGGAAGACATATGTAGGGACTAGGCAGTGGGAGATCTGCCTCAGTTACTTTTCTTGTCTTGCATTATTATTTCCGGATTAAGAGATGACTGGAATGTGTATCAAGGGAATTCCATTTTCCATGTGGTGAGAGCTGTGGTGTGGGCCCAAATGTTGCCTTTCTTGGGAGGCAACGCTTATCTGATGTTTGTAAAGCATTCTGAGATTCTTGGGTGAAAGTTTATTAATAAAAATAAAGTATCATTAATTCAGTTTTAATTAAAAAAAAAGGATAAATACAAGACCTAATTACTCATCTCTGTATTTTATCCAGACAGGGAAATTAAGAGGACCCACTGACATTTTTTTTTAGCTTTCAACAAAAATAAAGCTGAAGATGTTAGGATTTTAAGTCAATGAATGTTGCAACTGCCATCATGTTAGGTACATCCACCCAAATTGTCATAGGTTTCATTAAACAACCAGTTTGTTATTTTTTAGCTTAACACTAGAAAACTAACTGTATAGGAGTAGAGCCTGACTCTGGCCTCAATTACCAGCTTAGGTAAGTTTGTTCTGTTGATTTTATATGGTCTTAATTTATTCTGGTATAAATAATGTCAGAATCAAGCCCCATGTGACCTGTGAGTCAACATTTTATACCACAGATGGCATTTCATGGCTAAACCAAATCAGACTCAAATCCGAACTGCTGAGGGAAAGTAAGTTTACATAGAAATTTTTTCTGTCTAGTGTACATACATATTGTACAATAATATTAGAAATTCTGAGTGCTTTCTACTGAAATACAAATATTTTTCTGGATTGTCTTATAAACATCTTATGAAGTTTTCAACACTACTTTTTTATCATAACTGGACACATCTCCATGAGCTGCTTACTGAGGAGATGCCTAATTAGCTCCACAGTAAAGCATCACCGGTCTACACATATGGAGCTATTAGGCCAGAATAAACTAATTCACTTCCCGTAGGTTAGTACTTATCAACACAAGTACTATCCTATGGTGGAGTTAATTTTTTACTCAATGTACATGTAGATGCCGAAGTGACTGGGGCACAAGGGTGCTTCAGTGTGGGGGCTACCTGACACATAGCTCATAAGCACCTTCATGCCCCCTCCAGCCCCTCCGCAGCACATTAAGCCAGGCTGAAGCAGCCACAGGCTGGCAGGTTGACACCCCCAGGTTCCCCACCAGCCGGGGCTGCACTGCCCCAGCTCAATGTGTTGCAGTCCCAAGCGCACATGTAAAAATTGAACCCAGGAGCAATAAACTCTGTGGGAACTGTTGTGCCGGAGTTTATTGCATCATATTAATATGCACATGTAGACGTGCCCACTGAGAATTTAAATATGCTTCCTTTTCTTAAAGTGATATGCTGTCAGCCATTACACATCAAATAGTCCACTTTTAGAAAATATATGTCATGCTTTGGATTATAATACCTGTTTATTCCAAAGGTTATTTTAAGTCAGAAAAGTCTAGGGCCAATCTCTTTTTGCTTTGTCCATACAAGGTGAAGACATTTAAACTCCTAGTTATTTTTTTTATGTAGTAATTTTTTAACAACTGTACAATAGGTCCTTTTTAGCCTGGTTATAAAAGTTTTGATAGTCTAACATAAAATCTTCCCCATTAAACAGAAGTTGAATATCCCATATGGCTTTTCAGCTTTTATTCATTATTCCCCGCTAGTGAAAAAAACAGACTGGAGGGTTCCTTGGTAAAAATAAAGGAAAAAGACCTGTTATTCCTACAAGTTCATACTCATGCAAGTATTTCTTACTCAGGAGAGTAAGCCCATAGAGAACTGAGTCTATATTTGGTAGCCAAAGGAACAGAACTAAAAAAGGCTAAGGTGCTTGGTGCTTTAGATCTGTTCAACTTTGTTTTCTTTGCATTCAAAGCCCAGCTGGTGATCTAAGATACTTGGCTTTCTTAAACAATCACATCCCAAACTGTAAACAGCTTAATTTGCATCAGGTTTTTGGCTTTCAGAATCTGGAGATAACTTTAGAATGGTTAAATATAAACAAATTACTAGTAAAAGTACTCTACCTAAACAAAGTAGCAACATCCTGGAAATGTTGTAAACTGTTTAATCTGTTTAATCCTTGCTGATACGTGCAAAGAACCTGCAATTCTGTTACACTACATTAGTCAGTCTGTTTCCCTAATGTGAAGCATTTCACTATTAAAGTTTGTAGAAGGGGAAGCAGTTTCTCTAATGCTTTTATTTTGGTAGTGGTGAGGTTAAAAGGGGAGGGATTATAGGCATCATTAAACTTTTATCCTAATAAAATTACAGCCTTCTTTAAAGTTTTTTTTTTCCCAAAGTAATATACTTAATTAAGAAAACAATGATTTTTCACTGTAAATCATGGTGGAAGTGTCAGTTTCAGTAGTGTGTCACATTGTAAGTGTCTGAGGGTCACTCTTAGAAGGGCACTCATATCCGGGGCCAGTGGTGAGAGGAATGAGGTGGAAGAGATAAATTATTGACTTTTGTTTTTCAAATGTCCAGGTGCTATGAGCTAGCCTCACTGCTTCTGATCTCCACCATAATGCAGTCAACAAGCTTCTCTTCCACAACTGGATTCAATTATTCAAACCCCTCTTCCCCCCCACCCAAAAAAACCCCCAAACAAATCACCTCCCCCTAAAAAACTAGGGCAGTAAAATATGTCATACAGTAGAGCCTCAGTTATCATGACTGATCTCGTGTCCTTTGACAACCTATTAATTACATTGAAAATTACCTCAATTATCTGAATGTATTCAGTGGTTCAACAACATGCAGATAATCAAAGCTGTACTGCATATCTGCTAAGTATAGCCTTTGGTAAACTTTAATATTTAGACAACACTAAGTTTTCAAGCTATCATCTAGCTGTGCATACTCTACATTAACACAAACACACTTTTGCTTTATCAAAACACTTAAAATAGAGGAATAGATTCTTGACTGACATAAATTGGTGTTTATCTGTTGATTTCAGTGGAACTATGCAGATTTACATTAGCTGAGGACCTGGCCCATAAACATGCCTAAGGATGTTTTAAATCTTTTTTAAAAGCTATATAAAAATCACAAAGCACCAACCTTG